ATTTCAAAGTGACAGAAACAACTCATTCACTACCTCATCGAAGCTGTCAGTTTATCGGTCCGTCTAAATGTGGGACATTTGGAAATCGAATTATTGGTAACCATAATGAATTCGTTTGAAGATTAAAAGAAAGGAAAAGTAAGCATAGTGTATAAAAGAAGTATATTGAAACCTAAATTTTCTACCACAGACGTAAAAGTTAAACTAGCCCATTACACTACTTTTATTACCTCATAATGAAGCCTCCACATTTAAATAACTCGCATATTTGAATAAAAATGTAAAGATAAGCTTAATATGAAGTCTTTGTGGAATTTACCGTTTTTTTTTACCTGACAATAAAGGTGGTATCTGTTCAATGATCAGCTCTACCCATCAAATCTCTTGATTTATTAACCAGCCAAACACATGGCGCTATCATCCCGACAAATTACGACGAGTAGTCAGTGCAAACATGTATCTTATCTGATTTGAATTAGGAATGGCGCCAACGTTGGGAGGAAGGCGCATGACTGCAGCACAGCGCGCTCTAGTGGAGATTAATGGCATTACACTCCAACAGTAGCCTATTGAGAACGAGACGCCCAGCTCTTCAGAAGTCTGTGATGATGGAGAGTAACGTATGCCAGTATTCCGCTTGTTATATGCGAGAACAAATGCCTTTTTGCTGATTTTTTTCCCGGGGAGGTTATTTGCGATTTTTAAGTCCCTCAGAAATGTGAAGATGAAAAGTCCTGCGAAACATGGATCAAATAGGCTACAAATAAGGCAGAAATATTCTAATAATCTACTTTTAAACACGCACCAGGATTGTAGAAATAAAATCTTTGTATTCATGTTTCGGTGTAATCATCGAAATGTAATCCTCATTTAATCACTCTAAAGATGTCAAGTGGTGTAACCTAGAAACGTGCGATATGCTTTTCCTGTGCGCTTTAAACAGGCTACACGTTAATGTAGGCTACGCAACTTTATAGCCTATGTATAAAAAAAAAAGACTTTTTATTTTATTTTTTTAAATAGGCCTACGATGCCTATTTCTTTTCTAAATAGAAAAATTTAAAACAAAACGTCATTGTAAAAAAAATAAAATAAAATAATAATAATAATTTTTATAAAGAATAAATTATGCAAACATTTAGCCTATTTTCTCCCTCTCAATAATTTCAGCCTTTTAATAAATGTTTTCCCGTTTTACCTCCAGACAGTTAAACCACAGACATTTTGTCTTCAATATTTATAAAATATCAAAATTAATTTTAATTCAAAACCTACAAAAGGACTATTTTGTATGAATTTTGTGCATTTGTTAGCAAAAATAAATCTGAACAAAACATGAGTATCACGTCATGCACTGTAAAAGTGGTCCGACATAAGACAAAACACAGTTTTAGCTAAATAGCCTATAAACGCGAATCCCCATGCAAGATGCAACTCTATTCATGCATTGGTGAATGAAGCCTTGGTTATGTCTAAACAGTTAGATGCTTCAAATATCGTTAACTGTTTTTTTGTGAAATGATCCACTGGTTTAAATCCCATCTGTCTACCCATGTCATGTTTAACATACTATACTGCTGCAGTGAAACAGGAGTTTAGGAAATAAAGCTGATTATGGTGTGTAAAAAGCGGGGTGATAACCAGCACCACACCTTTTAATCAAAGCTGTTTTTCCCCGGGGTGCAATTTTCACCTTTTCTTGTTCTAAGTCAAAGTGATAAGGAACAATTCAGCAGCCCCAAATAGCAATCATCTTATTTGAGAAGATTTGTGTCTGCCTCCAACAACCCCTGACAATTTAAAGGTTATCTTTGCTGTAATAAACTGAAATTGTAATAAATAAACCGTTCGCACGCGCGCCCGTTTCGCACATTGTCAAAGGCAGTGCACGAGAGCAGATGTAAGTTAATAGCAACACATTATTTTCCGCACTGTTAATGCATATGGGGACGCTTCTGCTGGGCAATTAGCAGATAATGGAATGAAAGACAGGTATTGTATTACATTCATGTGGCTGATGATGATGTCATTGAGGGACAGCGCGCGAACTCAGGTGTACGGCTACACGACAAAACCCGCGCGCCTTCCCGCCAAATCCGAGGAAGGAATTTACATATTTTCTCTTTTAAAAAGGCGGCTTTCTTACACACGTTTTTAACTTTTAGTTGATAAAAATATTATCTATATTTAAAATTATCTATATTATCTAGGCTATATTCTTTAAACAATTATTTACCTATTTTTTCAATCCTAAAAATTATAATTATTTGTACCCGTTTTTAGCCTAAACATTCCGACATTCTTAAAATGGGACAAATAGGCCTAATTAGAATATCTATAGGATTGTTGGTAACATTAAGGTTAACAAGCATTGTTGCATTATATGAAAAACAACTAAATAAGTTAAGTAATCTTGATTTGTTGGAGTAGGCAAGCATTTTTTTTTTTAAATACGAAGTGTTACCGAATACCGAGTTTCGGATTGTTATTAGGCCTATTAGACAAACAGCTGATTAAATTAGACAATGTAGGTAATTTGTAGGCTATATGCAGCGCGTTTATAACATTTATATTACAATAATATAATCACCAAAAGCCCTTATCTCTGAAAAATATAACACTGATAAAAGTGCAAGTGCATCTTAAAAGATCCTTAATATTCATGCTACACATACAAGTGCTCCAGCTTTAATAATGTCTCAAGGCAAAAATATAACCGTTTTTTTTTTGCCAACAAACCTGCTTCACTGCAGTTTCCTGAAAATAAAAAAATAATAAAAACAAAAATAGGCAAAATCGCTACTAGCTAATAACAAGACTTGACATGAGTAATAACATTTCATAATCGTTTTGCTTTTCGTTAGCGTGGACCCTCATCAGCATAGACGCCATCTTTGATCTTTCGCGAAGAAACACAAAAAACACTGAAAAACACTTCAGTCTGGATCCAGAACACCTGAGAAGAGATGATGCCAACCCCTCAGAGGACCGGACCGTACAATTATTCCTCGCAGCCTCGTTTGAAATGCGTTATTTCTGACAAATATGCAGTATTTTGTATTTAATAAAGTAGTCAGTCACTAGTCTACTTGATGTTCTGACTAAAACGCACATTCACCAACTTAGCATTATTAAAACAAACAGGCTACCCAAGTAATGTTGCTGTACAATGATTGAATGAAAACGTTGTTTTCTTGACACCACGACTTAATCCGGACATCAAGTCGGATGTTGACTTGAGATCTGCTAGTGTTCACTTGGGCTGGAATGAGAACATTTGAGGTTCTCCAGGTGGCTGTTAAATGCTCTGGGAACCTCCTGACATCACTACAGGGGGCTGACCTGTGCTTATCTTTAGTGGCTAGGCAGGTATTGTCCAAACATGTCAAACAGTCAGGGAAGCAGTGAACCTAACATCCGCTCAACCATCAAAAAGAGCGGGCTCTTCTCCACGTTAAGTGCTGTGTAGTCTAATAGGGGGGCACCACGGGGCAAACGTCTCAGTCTGTCAATCAGCCGGGCCTTATGCTCTTATTTGTCATGAGAGACACCACCAATCAGTGTCTCATTACATGCAACAGTGAAAGTTGTTGGGTGAGTGACCTTATACATGAGAGGCAAAGTCAGTTGTGGGCCAAAAAGCGAAGGGAAATATTAATAAACAATACTTTAATATATTAATTTAGCTATTTAAATGGCTTCAGTCTGGACCAGACTATTCTAACATCAGGCACACTGACATAATAGTAAACTAATATTTTTAAAGAATTGCTGACTGAAGAATGACTTTAATGTAGCTGTAATTCAAAACATATTGATAGGCCAAGGTGAAACACCCAAACAACTTAACTTGTCAGAGCAATAACAAAAATTCTCACGCGTTTTAATCTTGAGTCCTTGCGCCCCCTAGGGTCAGAATCTGTGTATTAACATCTAAGCCTTTGACGAGCCTTTTGATGTTTGAATTCCATTCATTTCATCTTGAAAGCCTAATTTGACCAAACCTGATATTCATTTAGGAAAACCAAGACTGTGGAAAAACACGTGATCTCCCACGAGCACCACTCCAAGTAAACATTACCCTGCTGAATACTTATGTTGTCATTTCTGGAGTAATTTGTGTGGGATTTTCCCAAAGCAGCTCTTTGGTTGAACTATTTAGTTCTGGAATAACTGTACAGAACTTCACATGCAGTCCCTCTGATGCAGCTTTTATTGCTTGAATTTTCCAGGAAACACCTTAAACCAAAGGCACTGATTCAGAAGTAAACATATATATGGCAGAACATTTACAATAATTCACAATAGCTTAAAAAAGGGGGAGATTAAAAAAAAAGTGTGGGCACAAAGGCAACCTATTTACCACTCATGCTTTTAAAACCGGAAAATCAAATCACTGCAATTAGAAGAAAATGAAACCCAAAAATGAAAATTAGCTGAAAATGTACTCAGGCCATCCAAGATGTAGATGTAGATTTCGCCATGAGAACAGATTTGGAGAGATTTAGCATTGCATCACTTGCATTGCTCTGCAGTGAATGGGTGCCGTCAGAATGAGAGTCCAAACAGCTGATAAAAACATCACAATAATAAACTGTTGCTTTCAGCCAAAATATAAGTTGATAATGCATAATAGTGTTTCCTCCAAGTTTAAAGTTAAAATGCCTTGATGGATTTTTGTTTATTTTAAACACATTTTAATTTCACAAGACGTTAACTAATGGACTGGAGTGGTGTGGATTACTTGTGGATTGTTTTTTTAATCCTTCTGCTTTTCAGTGGTAGGTAAAGTACTGGGGTCCTATTGGATAAAATCTAGTCATTTTAGCTCAGGCAAACAGTGTCAGTGTTTTTATCAGCTGTTTGGACTCTTAATCTGATGGCACCCATTCACTGCAGAGGATCCAAAATGTACTCAGGCCATCCAAGATGTAGATGTAGATTTCGCCATGAGAACAGATTTGGAGAGATTTAGCATTGCATCACTTGCATTGCTCTGCAGTGAATGGGTGCCGTCAGAATGAGAGTCCAAACAGCTGATAAAAACATCACAATAATAAACTGTTGCTTTCAGCCAAAATATAAGTTGATAATGCATAATAGTGTTTCCTCCAAGTTTAAAGTTAAAATGCCTTGATGGATTTTTGTTTATTTTAAACACATTTTAATTTCACAAGACGTTAACTAATGGACTGGAGTGGTGTGGATTACTTGTGGATTGTTTTTTTAATCCTTCTGCTTTTCAGTGGTAGGTAAAGTACTGGGGTCCTATTGGATAAAATCTAGTCATTTTAGCTCAGGCAAACAGTGTCAGTGTTTTTATCAGCTGTTTGGACTCTTAATCTGATGGCACCCATTCACTGCAGAGGATCCACTGGTAAGCAAGTGATGCGATGCTAAAATTTCTACACATTTCTCTTAATTTCTGAGTGAACTATTCCTTTAAAGTATTCAATAACTTTAAGGAGCATACTGGGATTGTTCAGAATTGTCAGATTATTCTATTCTAAGTTTGGGTTTGCCAGAGTGACAAAACAGAAGATGGCTAGACTAGTCTCTTCTTGAAATACATGTGTGCTGGTTGAGCCAACACGGTTTGCCTGAGCTAAAATGACTAGATTTTATCCAATAGGACTTCAGTACTTTACCTACCACTGAAAAGCAGAAGGATTTAAAAAACGGAAATAGTGTGTGCAAAGTGTAGGATGAAAGCATATTGGTAATCACCAAAAGCCTATTATCGCTCCAACAAATAAAACACTGATAAAAGTGCAAGTGCATCTGAAAAGATCCCAGATATTCATGCTACACGTCCAAGTGCTCTGGCTCCAATAATGGCTTAAGGCAAAAATATAACTGTTTTTTTTGCTAACAATACCTGCTGTTTCCTGGAAAGAAATAAAAATAACAATAAAACCGATATAAAAAATTGGCAAGAACTGCTACTACACCTTGTACAATAACAAAAAGACTTAACATGAGTAACTACTGCATAGATCCACAGCTATTTTCAAAAGCAACCAAAAATTCCTGATAAGAAACGTCTCTTCAAACAAAATGTACAAAAATATTTGTTTGGCCAGTTAAAATGATAAATGCAGCGAGTAAAGTCCATATCAGCACTGCATGTTCACACAGCACTTCATAATAAACTGGCATTTAAAAAACCGCTGCGAAGGCACCGAGGCCAGGCAGGGTGAGGATACAGTGATGAGGGTGGATGCTGCAGTCAGCTGGGAGACACTTGTGTGGGTATGACAGAAGGAAGGTGGAAGGAGGAGCATGAGTCTCTGTGGTGTACGAGTTTAAAGAGCAGCTCCTCTTTCTCCTGGCTGAGCTTCTGGTTCTGCAGAGACTGCTTCTCTAGCGCCTCCTGCAGCTCGTTCTGCTCCTTGGACAGTTGTCTGAAAGAGGACGACAAGAGTTTATGGAAAAGCGGAAAATAATATTATATAAAGAAAAAAATAAGTCTTTATTTTATGTAGACACATGCATTCAGTCTATTAAAACTTCAAACTGATAACTGGGCAATCCTGGAAATAGCAAGGGAATGTTATTAACAGCATCTAAAACGCCAGGTGGCGCCACATACAAGCATCTGAGCTAACAAACCTTCACTCTGACACTATCAGTGCAAGAATAAAATAACACCAGGAAAACTTACATTTAAAAAGCTTTTTATTATATTTGGACAATAGCAAGTTAGAGACTAGCAAGTGACAAGTGATACTGTATCATATTTGAGACACAAAGGCCTCTAAATTATCAACATGATCAAAACGTTGCTGATTTCTGTGAAATCTTTACTGATTTTTATTAAGTAAATGTAAGAGTATTATATTGTTAGTCCTTTTTCAAGATGAACACTTGCTTTTTTTATTATTATTTTTTTTATAAAATGTATCAAATATGACGCATCAGGCTTTTGAAAAACATTTATTTATTTATTTCTCTATCGTCATTGTATTGCATGCCATTATGACAGTGACAACTAGTATTTATATGCATTTTATGCAAGGAGTCCTACTGAAGTCCTATACTGTTATAAAGATCTCATTGATTTACATTACAAGCGTTTAGAATTTTATCTTACTTTTTTAGCTACACAGCAACACCTGCACAAAATTACATATTCTTGCTTCAGTATGAGCTCCATATTCTCTTATATCATACTATATGAGCCATAAAAGCCTGATGTATCAAATATGATTAAAAAAAAGGTTTGCATGTGTTTTTTTAGGACTAAAAATGTTTTATCTAAAGGGTCAATAAACTGTTCCCTTAAAAATATCTTACTATTATTTCATATATCAGGTTTGCAGGGTTAAACAAAATTAAATACATAAAAAATATCAGTCTATTCCATTGCCATATCGAATCTTCAAAAAATCCTTGTAAAATTTCGGCGATGATACATGTGCTACTTACATTCCCAAACAGAATTGCAATAATTCCTGCCACTGGCTGGACAAACAAATAGTCCTGCCCCAAACACAATGAGCAGAGCAATGTTTTGATAGCACTACAAAAGCACAGTCACAGTGCTTCCACATTTTGAGAGGATCAACCCCTAAAAATGAGGGATGCTCCGATCAGGATTTTTGCAGCCGATACCGAGTACCGATTTCTTGTCATGGTGATCGGCCGATACGGATTCTGATGCTTCAAGCTTTATATAGACGGTTTCATCGGGCGAACGCGCCTGGCCTGAAGTTAACTTCCGGTCTGTGTTTGTTTATCAGTCTGGCTATGGTGCCGGCTACAAACGCAGTTAAAGTTAAGGTGATGAGTAGACTGAAGTTGGGCTCAGGTGCTTGGACAGTTGTCTGAAAGAGGACGACAAGAGTTTATGGAAAAGCGGAAAATAATATTATATAAAGAAAAAAATAAGTCTTTATTTTATGTAGACACATGCATTCAGTCTATTAAAACTTCAAACTGATAACTGGGCAATCCTGGAAATAGCAAGGGAATGTTATTAACAGCATCTAAAACGCCAGGTGGCGCCACATACAAGCATCTGAGCTAACAAACCTTCACTCTGACACTATCAGTGCAAGAATAAAATAACACCAGGAAAACTTACATTTAAAAAGCTTTTTATTATATTTGGACAATAGCAAGTTAGAGACTAGCAAGTGACAAGTGATACTGTATCATATTTGAGACACAAAGGCCTCTAAATTATCAACATGATCAAAACGTTGCTGATTTCTGTGAAATCTTTACTGATTTTTATTAAGTAAATGTAAGAGTATTATATTGTTAGTCCTTTTTCAAGATGAACACTTGCTTTTTTTATTATTATTTTTTTTATAAAATGTATCAAATATGACGCATCAGGCTTTTGAAAAACATTTATTTATTTATTTCTCTATCGTCATTGTATTGCATGCCATTATGACAGTGACAACTAGTATTTATATGCATTTTATGCAAGGAGTCCTACTGAAGTCCTATACTGTTATAAAGATCTCATTGATTTACATTACAAGCGTTTAGAATTTTATCTTACTTTTTTAGCTACACAGCAACACCTGCACAAAATTACATATTCTTGCTTCAGTATGAGCTCCATATTCTCTTATATCATACTATATGAGCCATAAAAGCCTGATGTATCAAATATGATTAAAAAAAAGGTTTGCATGTGTTTTTTTAGGACTAAAAATGTTTTATCTAAAGGGTCAATAAACTGTTCCCTTAAAAATATCTTACTATTATTTCATATATCAGGTTTGCAGGGTTAAACAAAATTAAATACATAAAAAATATCAGTCTATTCCATTGCCATATCGAATCTTCAAAAAATCCTTGTAAAATTTCGGCGATGATACATGTGCTACTTACATTCCCAAACAGAATTGCAATAATTCCTGCCACTGGCTGGACAAACAAATAGTCCTGCCCCAAACACAATGAGCAGAGCAATGTTTTGATAGCACTACAAAAGCACAGTCACAGTGCTTCCACATTTTGAGAGGATCAACCCCTAAAAATGAGGGATGCTCCGATCAGGATTTTTGCAGCCGATACCGAGTACCGATTTCTTGTCATGGTGATCGGCCGATACGGATTCTGATGCTTCAAGCTTTATATAGACGGTTTCATCGGGCGAACGCGCCTGGCCTGAAGTTAACTTCCGGTCTGTGTTTGTTTATCAGTCTGGCTATGGTGCCGGCTACAAACGCAGTTAAAGTTAAGGTGATGAATAGACCGAAGTTGGGCTCAGGTGGTTGTGCTGTGGGATGTGTTTCCCATACATTTATTTATTTGT